ATGGCCCAGGTCCTTGGACCCTGCACCTGCACGGGAGACCAGGAGAGGCACCTGGCTCCTGCCATCGGATCAGCGCGGTGCGCTGGCTGCAGCGCGCTGGCCCACGGTGGCTATTGGGGGGTGAACCAACAGAAAAGGAAGACCTTTCTCTCTGTCTCTCTCACTGTCCACTCTGCCTGTAAAAAAAAAAAAGAAAAAAAAAAGAAAATTTCCTTTTAGACATTAGGATTCTCCTTTAGTAAATAAAAATGAGAAGTTTTAGATGCAATGCTTTCAATTAATATATACAGATGTCATATGAGTATGTATCATAATATGTATGTATATTATGTATATACATGAAAATATATAACCTTTTAGAATGCAATTTTATAAAACCTCCGTGGTTTATCCTAGTCCTAGTGTATTTTTGTTTATAAACCAAAAATAGAAATACACAGCATGAAGCATAGTCTATTATATTTCCTTAGTAATAATATCTAGGCTCATTTGTAGGGTAGTATATAGAAGTTTGTGAATAGCATAGCAAATATATAACAAAATTATTGATCTATATGATATGAATTCAGCTCTGTTCTCAGGATATAAGACAAGGCAAATTAGCTGAGAAAGATCGTCATTCAGGGACCAGCATGGGTGGGTTAAGCAACTGCCTATGAGGCCAGCATCTTATTTGAGCACCAGTTCAATTCTTGGCTGCTCCACTTCTTATCCAGCTCCCTGTGAATATGCCTGAAAAAACAGTGGAAAATGTCCCAAGTACTTGATCCTCTGCCACCTATGTGGGAAACCTTGATGGGATCCCAGGCTTCTGGCTTTGGCCTTCACCAGTCCCAGCTGTTGCAGTCATTGGATGAATGAAAGAGCAAAATGAAGATTCTCTCTCTCTCTCTAACTCTCTCCCTTTCTTTCTATAACTCTCCCTTTCAAATAAATCAATCACTTAAAAATATGAAAAGATAGTCATCCAACAACTGTAAAAGAGCAATTTAAATGGTATAGATATGGTTTAGGTGTTAACAATAATAAAAGACCCTTCCCACTCCTGTCTATAGACAGGGAAAAGAAGAGAGGTAGAAGGTAACTTCACGTATACTGTTGGGCTAATATCAATGATCCCCTCATTAAATATTATGGCATTAGATCTTTCCATAAGCTTTTAGGCTTCATGTTCTGATAATATAGCATCAAAAATGTAAAATTATTTTTAATAACTATATAGGTAAGGCACCAGTGTTTTCTTTTTACTAATATTTAGATTGTAACTAGACATTTAAAAAAAAACTTCTGGGACTAACATTGTCCTTCAGGGGATTAAGCTGCTGCCTGCACACCTAGTATCCCTTATCAGAGTGCCAGTTCTAGTCCTGATTGCTGCACTTTTGATCCAGCTTTGGTTATGTGCCTGGGAAAGCAGCAAAGGATGGCCCCAGGGCTTGGTCTCATGTTGCACAGGTGGCTTCAACCTGGATCATCCCCAATTGTTGCCACAGTTTGGGGTGTGAACCAGTGGATAGAAGTGCTTGCTCGTTCCCTCACTTTCTCCCTCCTTCCCCGTTCCCTCTATCTCACTCTCACTGTCCCCTTCAAATAAATCTTAAACCAAACCAAAACAAAAAACCAAACCTTCAGAGACAAAACACATGGTTTCAGACTCTTAATGGGATTTAAAGATATTGTACAGATACAAGTTGAATTCCCAGAAGGGTAGTACATAGGTCACCCAAAAAGTTGTCCCAGGAAAAGGTAGCCAAAGTGCTCATAGTATTGAACTATTACACATTTAATATTACAAAAGGTTATTTTTCTGAAGAGCTGAGAAATCACCATATTGAATAAAGATCCAATTAGAGCAAACTTTGTTACCAAAATAAAAGTAACACAAAATAAAAATTCACATTCTGCCTCAAACTAGTGAATCTTTTTAAGGACAGGAAGCAGTAAGAAGTACTGAAGTTTGGACCCATGACAGCTAGTAATCAACATATGTAGCAGCCTCACTGGGGCTCCACTTAATCTTATTCCTTTGATACTGAGCTACGTTTTAGAACTGACACCAGCTGCTGTTTCAGAAACATGCATTCAAACAACGTTTTTGCCTTGAGCTTAGTTTCTTGCACATGTTAAGTGTTGCCAGAGCAGATTGAAAATCTTCCTGTAAAATCAGGCCACAGTAGCGCACAAGAAATGGTAAACTTGTGTTGGTGGTTGGTACATTAAAGTTTATTTATCACCAGAATACATTCTTAATAATAATCACAGACTTAGATTGAAATGCTCAAACTATAATTTGGTGGCTTATGTATTTTATTGGAGAGCAGAAAGAAATCAATGATAAACCCCTCTTGAAGAAGATTCTGGCTCCTGACTTCAGCCTGGCCCAGCCCTGGTTGTTGCAGCCATTTGGGGAGTGAACTAGCAGATGGTCTCTCTCCTCTGTCTCTCCCTCTCTCTCTAACTATGCCTCTCAAATAAATAAATAACTCTTTAAAAAAAGTTTATGGATAAAAGCATTAAGACTGATTTTAGAATACTTAAAATAACTTCTGATTGAATTTACCTAATCAGTGACATCAGTATTCATCATAATTCGCAACACTTCCTGTTTTTTTCAATATAGGAGTTACACATATTACACAGTTTCAAAGTAGATGGTTTCTACTTTTCTTTTCTGGGGACTTATTTTTGGATATAATTTTTAAAATGAAGAGACCAGGTTCATGCTCTCTTTGAAGTTTTCTTTCTCCAGAATTCATTCATACTAACTTGAACTTTGACCCTCTACAAACATCTGTCTTTCTTCTCTCATTGTCAGCCTCTTGGCAAAAATTTAATATCTATTTCTATCAATTTGACTTTTTTAGATGCTATATGTAAGTAAGATCATGAAGTATTTCTTTCTACACTTACCTTCTTTCATTTAATATAAGGTTACCCCAGGTTCATCCATATTGTCACAAATGACAAAATTTCCTACTTTTCAAGGCACAATGGTATTCCTGCTTATGTATTTACAGGCACTTAGGCTGATTCTATCTGGAGCTGTGGAATTTGGTGTGTTAGTATTGTGTTGAGGATATTTACATTTATATTCATCAGGGATTTTGGCCTGTGATTTTCTTTTTTGTAGTGTTCTTGTCTGTCTTTATTATTGCAGTAATGCCAGCTGTATAAAATGAGTTTTGATGTTTTACCCTCTCTTCAATACTTTGGAAGATTTAAAAGTCTAGGAATTAATCTTTAAATGTTTGGTGGAAATGAGAAGTAGACATCAAATCCCACACATTTTAAAAATGCTTATCATTTTTATATTTTTGAAGTTAAAGACACACACGCACACACACAGTGGGACTGGGGAGCGAGATCTTCCATCTGCTGCTTCACTCTCCAAATACCTGAAATACCCAAGTCTGGGCCATGATGAAGCCAGGAGCTAGGTTTCCATTCGGGTCTCTCATGTGGGTAACAGGGATCCAAGTACTTGAGTCACCTGCTGCCTCCCAGAACATGTTTGCAGAAAGATGGATTGGAAATACAGGAGCTGAAACTATAACCATCACTTTCATTTAGAATCCAGGCATCCCAAAGAGTGCAAGCAGTGGCTTAACCCACTGCACCATAATGTGTGCTCTCCCAAGATTTTTTTTTTTCTTGATGGGAGATTTTGAATACAAATTCAGTGTCTTCTTGTTTTTGATCTGTTGAGATTTTCTATTTATTCATTTATTCTCAATTATTCCAGAGTATAATGTTGGATTATAATTATTTTTCATAGTCTCATCATGCTTTTTTTTTTCTATAGTATGTGTTGTAATGTCTCTTCTCACTTGCAATCTTATTTATTTGAATCATCTCTCTCATTTTCTTAAATAAAGGTTTTTTTTCTTCTTAACTTTGTTGATATTCTCTTTTATTTATTTCTGATTTTGCTTTATTTTTTCCTTCCCTGTATTAACTTTGTACTTTTGTTTATCTGGTTCCTTGAGTTGTAAAATTAGTTTACTTTTATAGATTTTTTTTCCTTTTTTTTTCATGGAGATATTTATTACTAAAATATTCCTTCTTAGTACTGCTTTCACTGCATCCCATAAATGTTGGTACTCCGTGTTTCAATTTGCATTTGTCTTAAGATATTTGTTGATTTTTTTCTTCTTGGCCCTCTGCTTATGAATAGTTTTTAAATTTTGACACATATATGGCTTTTCCAGTATTCTTTCTGCTATTTTGTTTCATAATATGTTAAGAACAGATGCTTACTATGATTTCAGTTCTCAAATTTCTGAAGTTTTGATTGTGCTCTATCATATGACCTATCCTGGGACATGTCTGATGTATGCTTGATTATAACATGCACAACACTGGCATTGGATGGAGTGTTCTCTGTGAGTTAAGTCCATTTGGTGTAAAGTATACTTCAAGTCCACTGTTTTGATTTTCTGTCAGAATGTTTGGCCCATTGTAGAAAGCACTGAGGTCTCTTAATATTATTCTTGCATATTTCTCCCTTCTGATCAGTGACTATTGTTTCAAATATTTAGGCACACTGAAATTGAGTCTCTATATGCGAAGTCTTAAAATGTTCATGTATGATGTGTATTATGAAAAAACTATTTAAAAATTTTTGCACCAAAATAATCTTTTAATTTTATTTTTCTATGAACTTTTCAAAGTCACTTTATATATTTACAATTGTTATGTCTTCTTGATTAACTGACCTATTTATCATCATATAATGGCCTTCCTTGCCTCTATTATAGCCTTAGATCTAAAATCCTTTCTGTCTGATCTAACTATACCTATCCCTACTGCCTTTTGGTTACTATTTGCTTAACTTTTCTTCCCTTCACTTTCAGTTTATGCTTCATTAAGTAGGAAGTGATTCTCCTGTAGAGATTATTTAATTAGGTCTTATTTTATTTACCCAATCAGTACTCTGCAGGACGGTTACCACAGTGGCCCAGCACCAATCCCGTTTTCTCCTCTACTTTTCTTTCATATAGCTACTAAAAATACAACTTGCTGGAAATGCAACATCTCGTGATAAGGAATAACTGGCTAGGAGAATCTGGGCTCTGTTTCTGGCTCTCATAGAGCAAGGTAAGCTGAAGCACTTATCTGCGTTCTCCATGTTTCCCTGGGGTATAAATCTCAGAAATGACTGCTTTTCAGGGCCTGACAGTTGCTGTGCAAGCATGGTCACATGTGGGACTTCATGAATGAATTTTGGGGTGACGTAATTCCTTTCATAAAAGTATCTGAACCTTTTAAATGAGTGAAATCTGAATGAGTCAAGGGAATAAAAGAGGGATCACCATTAAGGATTTAAAAAAACATAAATGGGTTATGAAAAGCAATGAACAATGATATATTTCCCAAAGTCAAATGGGCAGATCTAATATATAGGGGGGATAAAAACTAGCATAATACAAAGTTTACTAAAAAGGGGAGACCAAATGTTAGATTCTTAAAAATTCAAATAATATTTAGAGTCTGCCTTTTCTCGTCTCCTTCCCATCACACTGTCCTCTTTCAGCTGTGTATATGTTACTACTATTAAAATTCAGTGAATTAAAAAGCAATGATCTTTTTAGGATGTTTAAATAATATGAGTATATTGGCATAAATGTTAAAAGACAAAAACAAAACAAAAACCGAAAAAACCAGGAACAGAGTAGCTGGTAGACTCCAAATACAAATAAAAAAGGAAATGGAAAGACTAATTTCATGGCATGCTTATATTATATTGTACGTCTTTAAAATGTCCAAATATTACATGTTATTCTAAGTTAAAAAGTAAACTTAAGAGGACTGGCATTGTGGCACAGCTAGTTAATCACCACCTGTGATACTTCCAAACCATATTATAGTTCCTGTTCAAGTCCTAGATGCTCCATTTTCAATCTGACCCAAAAGCATAGACATCCATCACCCACAGGAAAAACCAGGATGGAATTTCAGGCTCCTGGCTTTAGCTTGGCCTAGTCCTAGCTGTTGCCAGCATTTATGAAGTGAACCAGTTGATGAGCGATCCATTTCTTTATCTTGCTGTCTTTCTTTCTGTCTCTCTGTATTTCAAATAAATCTTTTAAAATTTATATATATATTTGAAAATTAGAGTTATGCATAGAGAAAAGGAGAGCCAGGGAGAGGGAGAGGGAGAGGGAGAGGGAGAGGGAGAGGGAGAGGGAGAGGGAGAGGGAGAGGTCTTCACTCTCCAATTTGCCTTCAGAGATGCGCCAATCCAGAGCTAGGAGCTTCCTCCAGTCTCCAATGCAGGCGCAGGGGCCCAAGGACATGGGCCATCTTCTGCTTTCCCAGGCCATAGCCGAGAGCTGGATTGGAAATGGAGCAGCCGTGACTCGAACCAGCACAACCAACACTCATATGGGATGCTGGCAATGCAAACTGCAGCTTTACCCATTATGCCACAGGGCCAAGGACAAATATATTTTAAAAACTATGTAATAATTTTAATTGACAGGATATATATATATATACACACATATATATATCTAAATATTTTAATTCTGATATCAAATTTAAAATGTGGGAAAACAGTGTAGTTTTTGTGTATAACAATGTTGGCCTAAAATACACTACTATACATGAAATGTTCTCTGTGATTTTATTGAAGAAATGCTCTTTAAAGGTATAATTAAGGTTAAATAAGATCAAAGGGTAGGGTTGTAATTTTGTAGAACTGGTGACCTTAGTGGAAGAGAAACTGGTATCAGAGTTTACAATCCATATGCACACCAATCCATGTGGGCACACAGCACTCAAGAGCTGCTGACACACCAAGAGAAAAACCCTCAGAATGAGAGTTTTCTTGCTAGCAACTTGATCTGATCCAGCCAACAAGACCATGAAAAATAAATTTGTGATTTTAAGCTGGCATTGTGTCATATTTTGCCCTAGCAGATTTAGTAGACAAAGACAGATATTCAGGCCATGATTCAATGAAGCAAATTATTGAGTTAATATTTTGTTTTTCTCATTTCCTCAATCAAAATTTAAAATCTTAGGGAAGTTATTATCATACTAATTTTGTACATCTCTCAGAGGGATGTTGACAAAAACTGAACAATTAATAACCCTGGTATCTTGATATTGTAGGGATTTTAAATGCTAAAAGACTGGCATATTTATCTGAAAATTTTTAAAATTTTGTCACTCCTGAGTTAAAATGTTAGGCACGCCAGCGCTGTGGCGCAGCGGGTTAATATATTGGCCTAAAGTGCTGGCATCCCACGTTGGGCGCCAGTTCTACCCTGGATGCTCCACTTCCAATCCAGCTTTCTGTTCTGGCCTGGGAAGGCAGTGGAAGATGGCCCGAGTGCTTGGGCCCCTGCACCCATGTGGGAGACCCAGAAGCTCTTGGCTTCAGATAGGCACAGCTCTGGCTGTTGCGGCCATCTGGGGAGTAAACCAGCGGATGGAGGACCTCTCTCTGTCTCTACCTCTCTCTGGGGCTCTGTCTTTCAAATAAATAAAATAAATATTTTCAAAAAATGTTCGGCAGATGACTTGGTTAATATCTCAACAGGACCAGACCCCTAAACCACCTCATCCCACCCCTTACCCTTGGTGTGACACTTGGTCTCACCTTCCCTCCCCACTCTGTTGAGAGCTGGCGCTGCAGTCGGGAGGATTGCAAGGACATTTACTGAAGGAGGAGGATGGACAACATACTGTTAAACTCCCAGCCCCATTGGCAGTGACCTCAGCGGTACAGAGTCTCCCTGTTCAGAATTACTGGGATAGGGCAGGGATACAGAATGGGGTGGGCAACAGTCCTATTAGGGATTAACTGAGACCATGGCTGCCCTGTCCACTTCTAAGAGCCATGTTGTGAAGTTGGTTGTTCTAATTTATTTTAAGCTAGGTAAAGCTGAGGGATTATGGCCATGATGCCCCTCAGCCTCCATGAGGAGGGAATAAGGGGGAGTGCTTTTTTTTTTACATTGAGTTTTTTTTTTTTTAATCTGTTTTTTCTTTTTCCTTTCACACCATTTGGGGCCCTGGGAGTTTCAGTCATCTCCCGATTTGGTCCCCTGGACTTTCTTTTTTGATTCTAACTTGTAAATAAAGAAAATATTATTCAAAAATAGTAAAAGTAAGTATTCTTAATTTATCAGGTTTTCTGGTTTTTATGAATAAATTAAAAAATGTTGAATACTGATTTTAAAAAATATCTTGTAGTATATATCAGTGTAGAATTATGGAAGGAAACCAAGATGAAATACCTATATTTAAATAATTCAAGATGGAAATTTTGTTAGTGAATAGAAGAAAGGTTTTAAAATGACTTATTTTATTATTTTTGAAGAAAATTTTTGTAGTTATTCAGTGTACTGAAAAATGATTCAAAAGAGATTGCCTTTGTATCTCAGAAAATTAATTATTTTCAATTAATAACCTTCAGCCTATCAACATAAAATATCTATTTTTGTCATCTGAATACAGATAGAATTTGGATGCATGAATAAAAATATCAGATTTAGAAGAAATTAAATTAATTTTCTATGGGTAAAATGATGACAGGATTTCTGTAAGTTAGCACAGCATGATAACAAATCTGCAGATTTGAGCACACAAGACCCTTTTTTTTTTGCCACACTGAAAATTGGTGCTGGAAAACATAAAGAAACTGATTTTAATTCAGCAATACAACTAAATGCTAATTATAAAAAATGTACTTTAAGTTACAAGAGAAAGCATTTTTCACAAACCTTATGAAATGAACTGTAAGACAATACTCAATTAATTAAGACACCAAGATAAGTCTTTTCTTCTTAAATTCTATTATCCCATTTTAGTCACTGAGTAGATAAAAGCATGAAGTTAAATTTCATCTGCTGCATCTTTATTTTTGCCTTTGTAGAATATGCAATCCTTTCTTTTCATACCAATTGTTGATATTTTGAGAGTGTTACCCTTTTTTAGTATGAAACATCACAGCCGAAAAAAATAGAAGAATGTTTAGATTGATACATTATGGAACAATGACATAAGTCATATATGTGTTTTTTTTTTAAAGATTTATTTATTTTATTTGAAAGGCAGAGTTACAGAGAGGCAGAGGCAGATGCAGAGAGAGAGAGATCTTACATTGACTGGTTCACTCCCCAAATGGTTGCCGTCTCCAGAGTTGGGCTGACCCAAAGCCAGGAGCCAGGAAGTTCTTCTAGGTCTCCCACACGGGTGCAGTGGCCCAAGCACCTGGGCCATCTTCCACTGCTTCCCCAGGCCATAGCAAAGATCTGGATCAGAAGTGGAATAGCCGGGTCTTGATCCAGTGGCCATTTGAGATGTTGGCACCACATGCAGCAGCTTTACCCGCCATGCCACAGCACTGGCTACTATGTGTGAGTTTTCAATGGTATAAGCATAGATATAATGAAAAAGAAAATAAAAAACAATTAGGTGTGTGTATATTTTTTCACTATAGTTCATTGAATGTTTAATCATGTTATAAAGAATAACATCTGTGAGTAGTTTAAAGAAATAACTGGACAAAAAGAGTAATAGTCTGAAAAGTTTTGCACATTCATTTTTTAATTTCCATTAACCTTGCATTTAACACATCAAATTCTAACTCTCAATTTCCCCATTATATCTGTTTCTTAATAGGTTAATAAAATTGTATACATATGCAAACAATATTAAAGATGTTAGTTCAGTTTAGTATACCAGTTTTTTGATTTTTTTTTTGTTGGCATTTCCAAAATTTTAGCCATATTAAGTAGATCCTAGGTGAAAAATTTCTTCTGGATATTAGTTTTTAATGGCTTCTTTCTATAAAATGAGTATATGGTGAAAGTATACACAAAAGCAACAGATGAAGCATCTCACCGCTGGGCTCTATTAAACATATGCATTTCTAATTCATACATGGTCTTTGAATCTTAAACATGAATCTTTCTCAGCCTGTTGCAATAGAAATGGAGAGTAGAGTCATGATACTTTTGTTTTCTCAGGAGGAGGTCAGTTGGTAGTAAAAACCCATGCAGTTTTCAATGATTTATTTAGGACAAAAATCTATGAAGAAACTTTAAATTAATATTACATCCACTTAGAAAAACTTTTAGAAAAAGAAATTAGATTGAAAATCATATTGCTACTTTATCAGACTGCAGGCAAGAACAAAAGATCCCTAGGGGATTATGAATTTGGGAACATCCTACCTTTAGCTTTCAACTTGAAATGTTAAGAACACGAATGGGAATAAGTCTGAAATGAATGCTCAAAGAATATGAATTTGCATATTTAAGGTAAAACAGAAGAGATAAGAGATGCAGTATCTTATTATCTCAAGAATGAAAAGCATTTGAGATAAAATGTTTGGGAATTGACATTATAATCCTTCACTAAAAATTAAAATGTTAATGGAATTTTATATACTAAAATATAAAAATATTGGCAGTATTCTGAAGGTGGGGAAGGGTAGCAAATTTCATATCAAAGATAATGAAAGGGGCTCTTTTAACAGAATGAGCTCTGCTTCTGGGCTCTGCATCTGCACAGCTATTCATCCTTCTGCATCAAAATGGGTGAGGGGACCAGGTTCAATGTCAGAAAGTGCCTGCCTGAGGTTTCTTGGTGAGAATCAACAAAAGTACCCTTAAGTGTGTGCGCGTTCCTCACTCTGTCATAAGGAAAGTAGGAGGAACATGCTTAAATAAACGTTCAAGGTGGAGGCGAATGACAGCATGCATTTGCAGAGCTATTTTAACAAAATGGTTTCTTGACGTTCTCTCTTCTACTTACCTTTTCACCCACACTATGCCACCCCCTCCAGGACAGTTTTTTTCTTTATTTTAACTCATTTTTATATAAATTGTATTGGAGAGCTTTCATAAGAAACTGAAAATGTTTTGTTCTTCAAACCCCTTTCTGGTGAGGTGCTAAGGCCTGCAGGCCACATTACTAGGACAGATTATCCACGGAAAACTCAGACTTTTTCATCGACACCAAGCAATTATGGAATAACTAACACAGAAATTCCTCCCTATCTGATGCTCCATTATTCTTATATTTTACCTGGTCA